ATATATAATATTAATTTATGTTGTTGAATTAAGAGATCTTTAATTTGAAGGAATTTGAGATTGAATTATATTCCAATCTCGTGTTTGATTTGAAAGATTTCTTGAATTTAAATTAAAATTCCATAATTATAGGATTTTAAAATCCCACATGGGTGATTGGTATTTCGTATGGTTTGGTTGTCATAATGTATTAAAATATGTCCAAAATATTTGTTTTGTAATAATTAATTAATAAAAACATTTTTTTAACTATTTATAATCTATTTTTATAAAGTATTTGTAAAAAAAATGGAATTCAATTCTTTTCCAAATCCTATAAACCGAACACATTAAAGACTTTAAATCCGTCTAATTCTAAATTCTTCCACAAAATCTAAATACTTTAAAATCATTTTATCAAACTAAATGTCCCTTTAAGATGTTTGAATATGGAATTAAACCGGTCAATACGATTAAATTCCGCAAATAATTAATTACAGAGTGTTCGTGTAAATTGATTAGATAAACTTTGAATTTATTAGGGTTTAGAAAATCCGATTTAAATAATCATGTAATTAGTTGATATAATAAAACTGAATATTGAGATAAAATGCAAATTATTTTACTATTCTTAGCTTTAAGAAAATAATTATTTGCTTATGACGTTACAAGTTCCAGTAAGGGCCGTTTATCAAACACTTATCCAGTAAGTGTTTACAGGCAAAAAAATTAACACTATCATTTACTTACCGGATAAGATTTTAGTCCATCAAAACGGCATAAAATGCAACAATTTACCCGGTAAGCACTTACCGTGGTAAGAGTTGTTGCTCTCACTTACCGGGTAAGATTTTTGGTTCTTACCATATTCATTCGATAATGTAATGTGATTTGGTAAGCGCTCACTCAAGTAAGCATTTGGTAAACGGCCCCTAAATCATATTCTAAACACGTATATAACACTTCCTTAACGATTTATAGATTACATAATTTTTAATCATACTCTCTGTATTTAAATTAATGTATGAAGTTATTTGCCTTAAATCTAGTGTAGAGAGTGGTTTTTAACATAGTGATTGTTTGATTGATTTTTTAATCAAGTCATGTATGAATAAAACTGTCTGTATATATTACTTTGTCTGTATAGATTGACAAGATTTTTGTTTGGAAGAGGTTTTTCATAAATGGAATGTGCGTGTTTTTTAATTGGAATGAACAGGTGTAGAAAACACTTGACGTTATGTATAAGATTTTCCTCTAAAAACTTACTAAATAAGTCAATTTATATATCATTAAGCTAATACCAAATAATAATTTATAATCGACTCAATAAGTTGATTCTCACTAACCTCACTCAGCTATTAACAAACATGGCATTAGCGTAATTATTCCAACCTTATCTCTACTTAAATAGTTATAATATATTATATTAAATTTTTAATACTATTTTTGTACTTTCTAAATGTGATTTTTTATTTTTTCTAGTTATTAATTAAACGAATAATATTAAAATAATATTTTATAGGGCTTTCCACAAGTGGGAAATGAGATACTCTTAGGGTGCGTTTGGTTTGCAAGAATGAAATGAATTTGGGGGGATTTAGATTTTAAATCCATTCCAATCCTATGTTTGGTTTGCCAAATTGAAGGGATTTGATTAAAATCCAGTGTATGCGAGATTTGGAAATCCTTTGCAAAGGGGTGAGATTTCAAATCCAATCCTTTCCTTCCCATCGCTTCCTATCGATTATTGCGTCTCCCTTCCTTCCTCCCGCTTCTTTTACCCATATTCCCTCCCATCCCTTCCCTTCCATCGTCGGTGCTCCCTTCCCGTCCCTTGTGAAGCTGTGCCCTAAGGTCGTCTCGCCGGTGCTCCCTTTCCGTCCCTTGCGAAGCTGTGCCCTAAGGTCGTCTCGCCGGTGCTCCCTTTCCGTCCCTTGCGAAGCTGTGCCCTAAGGTCGTCTCGCCGGTGCTCCCTTTCCGTCCCTTGCGAAGCTGTGCCCTAAGGTCGTCTCGCCGGTGCTCCCTTTCCGTCCCTTGCGAAGCTGTGCCCTAAGGTCGTCTCGCCGGTGCTCCCTTCCTTTTCCCCTCGCGAAGCTGCGCCCTGAACCGCCTTGAGCCAAAACCCCTTGAGCCAAAACGTCTTTCTTGTTCGCCGCCTTCTCGCATCACTCTCAGCAGGTAAATCATATAACACCTTTTGTAGATGCTTAAATCTGAATAGGTATGAACAGAGTAGTCCTCCTTGTTTGATGAAAACTTTTCTCAAGTATATAGTTTTTGTTTAAGTGTGCTCCGTACATATGATGGTTTCATCGTCATTGCTATATGCTTGCTTAAACTGATTCTTCAGATGCATGATCATAGGAATTTTGCTATTTCTAGTCTACTTCTATATGCAGTTTTATGATTCTTCAAGATATATAGTTAAAGTTCATGGTATACAATATGGTCATATTATGTCCAAATCCTGCAAACCAAACACATGAATGAATTTTAAATCTAATCCAATCCAAATCCCATGGAATCCAAATCCTTCAGAAACATTCCTGCAAACCAAACGCACCCTTAGGGTTTTCAATTACTAATTAAACAAATAATAATAAAACAAAATAAATATATTTTAGGGAGCTTTCTACACAGAAGAAATGAGATACTATAAGCGTTTACCAAGTCATATTATCTTACGGGATGAATATAGAAAAGACCAAGAATCTTACCCAGTAAGTGCTAAAGCAAGACCAGAAGTCTTACTCGGTTAGTGATGGTGACGACTCTTACTACGGTTAGCGCTTACCGGGTAAATTGTTGAATATAATACCGTTTTGATGGACTAAAATCTTATCCGATAAATAAGTAATAATGTTGAATTTTATCTATAAACACTTACCCCAATAAGCGTTTAGTAAATGGCACCTAAGTTAGAGTAGGAGCTTATTCGGAAAAATATTGGTTTAGATTCCCTACAAATGCAATAGTTAAATAATAGATATAGCAAGTGGAACACTTTTGAATGATAAGATTCGGATTGTAAAGGAAGCCCAATCTTGAAAGTATGATCGAGTCCAAAACGTGCCTTCTTACCAAATGATATTAGCTCTCGTAATTAGGGTTGCTCAAAAATCTAACTAACCCGATCAATAAAACCCAATGTGAAATAACTTAACTTGAAGCAACTCAATGTCTAATTGAGTTATAAAAATTTCAAACTATAGGTATTGGTTTGATATTGAATTACTATTATTTGAACACAACCCAACCCGATGAACCTGATATCTTTTTATTTTTTGGATTTAATATGATTGTTAAACTTCTATTGATATATACATTAGACAATTACACTATCACGTATACTCTTTATATACACATATTTTCAATTTATTCACATCTCTATATATTCATTAACTGTGAACATATATATGTAAATTGAGAAAATTAACTGAATATAACATATGTAAGACGTATGGATAAGTTGTATCAAATGACTGATGATAAAAAAAATTATGAGTGAAGAAATAACATATTCAAGATTAAAAGAATATTTTAATGTATCAAAGTATCAACCCAACCAACCCGTACGGTTCGGGTTGGGTTAAAAATTTTCAAACTGCAAGCATTAGATTGAGTTGCTCAAATGTTTTCAACCCGATCAATCCAACTCATAAGCACCATTAATCGCATGTGGATAAAACTTAAAAAGTATTAGATGGAAACAAATATAACCGATAGCTTTTAAAACACTGTCTTTATTTTATGCATTTGAACTCTCTTTTGACCTAATCTTAGTTTTCATTGATTCGTTCATGTTGAAAACATGTAAGACTAGATCTTCGTCTCGTGTTTCAAGTTGACTAAACATCATTATCGAGCCACGAGATGTATATGCATTCTACACCAGATAATGAATTTTCCATTACAACTCTCAGTTTCAAGCATTCATATTTCTTTTTTCAAGATTTGAGAAGGTTCATTTGTAAATATATGAGATAAAACCTCACTTGGTGGTAGGATTGAGGTTCAATATCTTGAAGTTCCCTCTAATGAACTTCAACTATTTTAGCAAGTCGAACTTTGGCGTCGAGCATTAATATCAAGTAGTTAAATATACAATTTCGAAAAATTAACAGAACATGCCCTTGTAGTTTCATTTTTAGCAAGATGGGCCCATATAGTTTCATTTTTTAGCAAGCTAGATCCCTATAGTTGCAGTTTTCTTTTAACAAATTGGATTCTCATGGTTTTCATCAAGGACTCGACTTGTTAAAGAAATACCACCACAAAGACCCAACTCTTTTAATCTGTTAAAAGTAAAAGCGAGATCCATTACAGACTTGGCTGGGCCTAGATGATGATGATCAACTTATTTAGAGAGTTGGAGTTACGACAGCAGGATCTGAATAGATCTATCACTTCCCATTCCAGACCGTACAAAGGCGCAAGTGTGGTGGCAGCAGTCTACAGCAAGCAATCTATCTCGGAATAAATGTCTTTCCAATCGCAGCCGTTCATACCAAAATCACCACTTTTAGCCACTCTGTCATCCACTTCCATCGCCACCCCCTTTTTATTGCTATTCCCACTACAATCCAAACCCAGTTAACAACCCACCAAATCAACATTACCATTTAATATTCAATTTTTAATCAAACTCATCATCATCTAAAATACCCATTTTACCCTCTCCTCTCACCACCCACCAGGAAAGACTCTTCTACAAGTACGGAAGAACAATCCACAGAGTGATTTAGGCCAATTCTGAATTGGACCTTAAACCACAATCTTGAATTATGCTGATTTCTTCAATCCTGAGAGTGATTTAGGCCAATTTCTTCAAAGGGTATGATGATCGATTGGACCAAATTAAGCTGGCTGCATAAAACACTGCCTAAAGTTCCAAAATTTGCTGGAGTGAGCAATGGAAACCTTCTAACACAAATGGTATACAGACACGTCCAATGAACAAGACTGAATCAAGTTCCTAGTTTTGGAATATATATAGCAACCATCCAAAAAATATGTATAAGAAGCCTTCAAAATGCATGTTTCATTCAACAACAAATTAAATTATAGAACAAAGAAATAATTCTTTACAACAACATCAACTTCAATGTAGATAGAAGGAGAAAACCAGAACCAAAAAGAAATGAAGGAAAATCTTGAAATCCTTCTTGAAAGTGGATGCTTTTTTTTTTCTGTTTGTAAAATGCTACCTGTAAAAAACGAAGAGGAAAAGAAAAAGAAACCTTTTTGTCTCTCTTTTTTTCCATCCAATAATTTATAGAGTGATTGATTTTATAAGATGACAAAAGGGAAGAAGATTCATACAAATACATACAACAATCCTATACACAAAACACCCAAATTCATACTCCGTACCGTCGCCGAGGAGTGCAATTCCTCTCTCGAACCTGGTGGCGACGATGGTCCGTACAATTCCGGTGGAAAATTCAGCGGCGGTGTTGACATAACTGGTGACGGAGCACCATTGATGGGAGGGGACTTTTCCGGTATTGCATTTTTCCCAAATATCTCCTTTGGTAATAAAACCCTAGAAATCCCGAAAATTGCAACCGGGTTCTGATCGAATACGGTTTGTGTTACGGAGGCTTGAATGATGCCCGTATTAATTGCAACCGACCCGTTAACCCGAGAGATGTTCAATGTGAAGCTACCGGCTCCTTTGTCCTCGGTGGCTAGGGTTGGTTGAACAGGGTTCACTATCGATTGGAGCGACCCGAGCGGATAGTACGAATGTAGCACGTGAAACCTTAAGACGTCGGCTTTTTTATCAGCCGGTAACGACTGGAAGTTCGCCGTTGCCGGCAGATCGGCGAAGGCGTCGTCGGTTGGAACGAAAAGTGTAATTCCTGCACCGCCTTCATCAGATTCAAATTCCTGAACGACTCCAGATGCAGCAAGCATCGAGGCCGCCACATTGAAGTTATGACCGTCGATTAACGCTTCACTGATGTTAAGCCCTAACGGCGGCCGAGTCTCCGATGCGAGTAGATCGAATCCGTAAGGGACGATTAGCGAATTGACGGAGTAGATGGTTACGTTGTACGGTAAATTTTTTATCATAGAGATGATGGTGGCGTTGTTGGGGGTCTGGGAGTACGCGGCGGGGGATCGAACGGTGGTGGTATTGGTTTTGCTGTCGTAGGTGACGTTAACCGAACCGAAGTTGTTGGTGGCTCGTCCGGTAGTTTGAAAGAGAGTAGTGATGAGTTTGCCGGAAGGGGGTAAACGGGAAAGGTCGTGGAGGGAGAGGTATTGTAAGAGGACATGGTAGCGGATGACGTCGGCGATGTTGGTGGAGGAGGGAGAACGGCGGATAAGGTCGGAGGATCGGAGGAAGGAATTGGGAACGGCGAGGAGGGTGAGGGAGGTGCGCTGGGAGAGATCGGCGGCGACGGTGGTGGTGGAGAGGAGGTTGGAGAAGTCGGAGAGATCTGGGTAAGGAGATAAGAGATGGGTAATGTTAACGGCGGAGATGAGGGTGGAGTGTAAGAGTAAATATAGCGAAATAATAGGGGTAAAATGGGAAATAAGAAGGGAAACAGCCATTTCTCTATCCAGTGGAAGCTGGACTAAGTGAGAGTGATAGGGGGATGATCGGGTGTTGATGGTGTATGTGAATGATGATGATGATATGTTGAAAGCATATACATTCGGAATTATAAGAAACTACATATTAAGTCCATTTACTTTCGTTTATTGCTTATTTTAGTCCTTGTAGTTAGTAGTCACCATATTCTAGTCCTATTACTATTGCTAATTTATCTAAATTATATTAAATCAAAATCTCTATTCCAATAAACCATATTCAACTTTTAATAATTTGTTCAGTTTTGATGTTACATTTCTCCCTGACAAATAATTGATACTGATATAACGGTATATTTTCTTAATTAGTCTCGTTCATCAGCAATGTAGTGACTAGTGCATAAACTAAACAAAAGTACTTGACCTCCTAGCGTTGTATTCACTTTTTGTATAATTGTACTTATGCATGTTGCAGCCTAACATGTTAGTTTTGGATTTCTATAATAACCAAATGCAGACTTATAATATTTTTTAAGGTGTGTCACAATTTGATTATAAAAACAAATTTGTACAAATATTTCAGAATATTAATATAGATTTGTCGGTTAATTCCTTATTTTGCAAATAAGCAACCTAAGATTTAGTCGAGATTTAAAAAAAAATACCAAAATTTAAGCTGAAAACTGTGAATTTGAAAATGATTGGTCTCAGAACCTGAAGTTTTAGTACAAAGTGAGCAACAGTTTTCCAACTCCACCAAAGGGTTCTCTAAATTTAGATTTTTTTCCCATTCTTGTAGATTTGAATGTTCGATTATTATCACTGACGATATCACATAGTTTCCTAAAGGTTAATCGATATGAAGCATCGTCAACCTAAAACATCAAATTCATACAATCCGTCAGTTTTTCTTCCTTTGTTTTGATTTTGTGAATCTTATATGAAAAGTAGGTAAGTATAAAGACACAATGTTATTTGTTGCGTGTTGATACAACAAAAGTTACCATAACATTCATTGTCTTTCTTTAATGGGTAGTCGTACCATTTGGATCTAAAAAATTACGTGAACCAACTATTTCTAAAAGCAGACAAAAGTTATTCTTTCAATAATGGTTGTGTCGACACCAACATCAGAAACAACAATTTATTTAAAGCAAAATGTGAAAAAAACCTAAACTACCAGTACTTACGTGACCAACAAAACCGACATTGCGAAAAAAAAAACAGTATTACAACAAAATATGAAAATCGTTGTTGAAAGAAACAATACTAAGATTTTGAGAAGCAATAAACGTAAACTACTAAAAGCAAACTTGAAGTACCATACACAAGGTAAAAATAAACAACAACAAAATCAATAGACTTCAAGCAGCAACGATAATTTCCAAAAGCAAATTTAAATTACCAGGTTGTCCTTTAACAAGATTTTTCATTCCCTCCAATTTGACTCGAAGTGAGAGATTACGGGGTTTAGGGTAATAGGCTCGATATATTATATCAAACCAAATGTTTTTTTTTTCCATTTTGATTCTCATATCGAACATTAATACTATCATCCAAACTTAACACCCCTTCAGTTCATTCTATCCTATTTCACGTAGCAATCTGGTTTTGCGATTTGAAGTAACGAAAACCTCTTAATAATGGTTATCAAGACTTTTTATAACATGTTACAGCTAATAACGTTTATAAAAAAAGGACATTGTATTCCTTTAAGAATATTCATAAATAAATAGATAAAACTTTTAGTTTTTAATTTCTGAAAGATTCAATATAATCCAATAAACTATCCTATTTTGATTGATCAAGTATGTAACTATTTTTTTTAAATGATTAAGTCCATTAACATTTTTTTAAATAAATAAACAATGGACCTTCTAGAAATTAGTTACAAGCATATTTTTAACCAAAAGAACTACCAGTAACTGGCGAAGATGTTTAAAAGTAAAGAAAAAACCTAAATCAATTTCACCATTCTCAAATCATACGTCATACATATCCATTGTACCTAATGTCATCACTCCCCAATTCCCATTATCGTTGGGCCCTTGCCATCGGTCTCCCTCTTTTTATCAGCTTTTATTGTTTTTTTTAATTTCCCCTCTTCTTTGTTATGTATATACGTGCTCCATTAACGTGTTGTACAAACGAGAGAATCGAAAAACAAAAAACAAGATAGAAAAGAGGAAGAACAACAATGACAATGCTTGGTATAAAGACTTAAAAAATCAAAATGAAAATGGGTTTTTTTGAACTTTTCTTTTTTAATTTTGTGTTAACTTTAACGAAAAGTGGGAAACTTTTGGTGGCATAACGCAAATAACCAAAATAGATTTAGGTGGAACATTGAATACTTGCACCGGTGCCAAAAAGACATTTGATACTTTTTATCATTAAATGAGAATTAGTTTTATTTATTTTATTCAAATATCGACGTTGTTAAAAAAAATGCAAGTAGGGGAAGGGGAAGGGGCACCTTTTTCATGATGTTTCCTGTGTTGGGGGCAGCTCCAACTTCATTTGTTATCTTAATAAATTTCAATTCATTAGAATAGGAATCGGATTCTTTGTATATTATTTATTTTGTCGTTATTTCTTTTTTTGTATTTTAATTTTCGATTCTAAAATAAGGTAAAAGGTGCCTCTGTATTTAGTTCAGTTCAATTAGTTATAACAACGGTAAAAATTATTATGTATGGTTAGTTCCGTTGTGACAGTTGACAATCAACATTACGCGAGTTGAGTTTGAGATCCCATATGATATGTGTTCGGTTATTTAATTAGTTTAGCAAGTGTACAAGTTGTTTGGTGTGTTTATATGCACATGTTTTGAGTTGATACAAATATTTCAAATTAAGACTTGTCAAATATTGGTTAGCTTAAAATCATGAATTTACTTATCATTAGTTATTTTTTGCGGCTTGATGCATATGCAATGTTCTAAATGGCATGAAACATAGTGTGACAACAAGGTCAAGCCTTAAGGCTTGGAATCTACGGCAAGACCATGAGTTTGTCAATAAAAAGGTAAGAAAAATCAAATATCATGTTACAAAACCCGAGCATTAGACCATAACATGTCACTAGTTTAACATGACATGAGACACAAGTCTTCAGGCACAACGTGCCACGACAGCTATGCAACAAGCCTTTTAGAACAATGGGAATATGCGGGGAGTTTGTGGTTTGGAAAAATGCTCAAACCACATATATGGTGTGGTTTGCGGTTGTACCCTAAACCACGACACGAACATTCCTACTTGGAACCATGGTTCAGGAGAAAATACTGAGAACAAGATCAAGAGTTTAAATAATATACAGATGCATAGCATTATTTAATTAACACAATTACAATTATGATCATTTCAATGACCTTAAGTGCGATTTTTGGAGCGGTCAGGATTCATCGAGAACAAGCACATCATCTAAATATCTCGATCCAAAATGCTTTGAACAGGAACTCATTAAAATGCTTTCATGAATCCAGACATTGGAGTCTGAATGCATTGCATTTGAGTTGGAACATCTGATTTTCGACCAACACAAGTTTCTGCTCCTAAGATCATCAATGGCTTGGGCCATTTGTCTGCAAATGTTAGATTCATGGACTCATGGGGGTCCAAACTGTGTTAACTGTTAACAGTTTAACAAGGTTAATATAATTCACAACTTATTTGCTTAGCTATATATGACTGTTTGGTAGTAGTTTAATGATACATAAATTGACTTATTTAGTAAGCTTTTAGAGAGGAGCTTTATGCATAAAGTCGACTTTTTTTCTGGACTTGTCCATCTCAATTAAAAATCACTCTTCTTTCATCTATGAAAAACCCTCGTAAACAAAAATCTTTCCGATTCTATACAAACATATTAATACACAGACAGCTTTACCTATACATGACTTAATGAAAACCAACCAAACATTCCCTAAGTATAGTTCAAAAGTTAGAAGTAGAGGCTCTAGACCTTCTGTACCTTGTACCTGGTATACCAGGCCGAATCGGTTCATCTAGAGCACCAGATTTTTTCGATAGCATCGTCACCACACGGTCCATGGTGGGTCGGAGCTGGGGATCAGATTGAGTGCACAACAATCCGATCTGCACACAAGCTTCCACCTGATCATGCGCAACCGAAGAACCCAATCTCGAATCCATAATCTCAAAACCTTTCCCTTTCTTGTACATCTTATAAGCCCAATCCAGTAGATTTTGGCAATCAGAATCCAGACTGAAACTCAAGTTCTTCTGACCGCTAACGATCTCTAGAACCAACACCCCGAAACTGTAAACATCCGTTTTCACAGTTAAGTTACCATGCATTGCATACTCTGGTGCTACATACCCATTAGTGTCCGCCACACGGGTATTAACACGAGTCTGATCTTCAGGATAGAGTCTAGCCATCCCGAAATCGGCAATCTTGGGTACCCATTTCTCGTTCAGCAATACATTACTGGCTTTCATATCTCTATGGATGAAGCATTCATGCGAATCTTGATGCAGGTAACGCAATCCACGAGCAACACCACAAATTACATCATATCTTCTCTTCCAATCTAGTGAATCTCGATCTCCAGATTCGAAAAGAAGCTCATCTAAGCTGCCATTAACAACATATTCGTATACTAAAAGCTTTTCCGGGTGCACACAGTATCCTATTAAGTTCACAACATTGCGATGCTGCACTCGAGTTAACAGTCTCATCTCTTTTGTGAAGTCCTTCACAATCTGATAGGAATGTGACAACTTTTTGACAACAATCACCCTCCCATCTTCCAACTTCCCCTGTGCAGATTCAAGAAAACATTACGCAATAAGCACTTGGTAAGTTGTTTAACCAAGTCTACTTTATCTAATTTTCCAAGGGAAAAAAGAAGAAGCCAATTGGCACTTTCTGTCAAGATGCTGTGTTCTTTTTGAATAACTAAAAACAAAGAGTCAAAGTCTTATCAGAGATGGAAGGAACCTTGAAAACAGGGCCAAAATCTCCATGGCCAAGCTTATTATCAGCATGGAAATTTCTTGTTGCAGAAACTAGGGTTTGGAAAGTGAATTCCTTATGTTCTTCAGCAGCAATCTTTTCCAAATCTTCTTCTTGTCCTTCTGATAATCAAGAAAAAGAGAAGATGTCAAGAACAGAGGATCTGTAATCTATAACAATAAAAAATATAACAGAAATCATGGATTGGGTTTCACCTTTCCTTGAATTAAACTTGAAGGGTTTGATGATATTTTGAAGAAAATTACTGGATATGTTCATGGTTAGTAATCAGAGCAGCAATCCATGGATGAACAAAAAGAAGCTTTTAACTTTTTGCAGATACTCAAATCTTCAAAGAGAAATTCATTAAATCTTGTAAAGAGAAAGAACAGTTAATCAGGAGGAAGGAATTGACTGATTATCACTTTTGACTTTTGCTGTGTTCTTGAATTTAGAAAAGGACAGAAAAAGAAAATAAATAAAAAATCTTGAAAATGTATGAATGGTTTGATGTGTGATTGAAGTATGCAATTCCAAGAGGGAGAGGTGAAAGACATCCATCCATACACGTGTAGGGTGAAAAGGCAGTGTGTTGCTTTATTATAGATGAAATGAACTCACCAAGCCTAAAGCCTTTGGCTAATTGAATTGAATCAACTTGTTTGCAGATGTGGGATGTATCCTGACACTCAGACCTCCACCACCAGTAATCGTCGACGTTGTTGCACCAAACAAGATATATTTAAGTAGTTCAAACTTCGACATGATTACAAATATATATAGAGAGAGAGCGTAAATATCATGTGAGAAGCGAGAATTGTAATAATAAATATGATAACATGGTTTTCTGATGCGTTTATATATATATATATATATATATATATATATATATATATATGGGGAAGGGTTTAAACGTACATTCATTTTATAAGAATGTAAGAACACATTTTTACCATAAACAATCATATATGATACTATTATTTGATTACATATGATACACATGTGATACTAAATCAGAGACATGGATGACTTTTGACACGATCTAGGTTGTAGGCCAAGTCGCTCTTACACCACTATGCCCCTTCACATGTACTATCACATGTGATAAATGTGTTATTAATGTGATACCATAATTCATCAAGACCATCACATGTGATACTAAATCATAGACTCAGACGATCTTTGGTGCGACCTAAGTCGCAAGGCATGACATTCATACACCATCAAATCCCCTCAAGTGTATTATCACATGTGATAAGGATGTTTTCGCATTCTCGTAAAATGGAGGTGTTATCATTTGAACCTCCACCTATGTATATATACATATATATATATATATATATATATATATATATATTTATATACACACACACACATATATATATATATGTATGTATGTNATATATATATATATATATATATATATATATATTTATATACACACACACACATATATATATATATGTATGTATGTATGTATATATATATATATATATATATATATATCCAAGGGACCTTCTTTTAAGAACCTATGAGATTATGATAACCTTGAGAATTTGTACATCATGTATTATTTCATATGCTTCTTTTTCCATCTAAGACTAGTATTTGCAATATTGATTAACATATATTTATTTTACGTTTGTTTCACATGTACTCGGTTCATAATACGAACATTTTTGACGTATTTATGAAACAAAAATTACACGTAAAAGAGTTTCACATTATGAACCGAATACATATGAAACAACCATCTTGTGAAACGAATATATGTTAATTAATACATTAGATACTATATTTATACGGAAAAAAAATTAGGTGAAACAAAAACTTAAAATAGAAGTTCTTACGGATTATTCTATTAATTGGCTATGTGGGGTACTTTCCAAAAGTTGTTTCTAGGACAAAAGAGGTTAAAACATATGTCAAATAAAATGTTCCAAAGTCTAGTTAATGTGAGATCTAACTCCAACACCAAAATGCAATGACTCTTGGAGGATCTAAGATGGATTATGAGACTTGCAGCCTCCAAGAGTTCATGGATGCTTTCGGACCTGCTGATTCATGATTAATTATGGATGTGTATGAAACATGGTTTATCTGAACCACAAGGGTGGTGCCTGATTGGTTTGAGCTTGGCTCTAAAGGTCAAAAGTATCGGGAGGTCCTAGGTTCAAGTCCAAGGAGGAATAAAAATCCCCTTGTGGCCACGGATGTTCAAATGCGGTGGCTCCGGGCTATCTGCAAAGCAGGTGGTCGCCCTGAGATTAGTCAGCTCACATAACAAGTTGGATATTCAGGTTAATAAAAAAAACATACATGGTTTACCTGGACAATTCTGACTAAATCAGGCTGCAAAAGCGCAATAGAAGGTTGAGAAGATATTCTTTGTGAAAATTAACAAAATGAAATTATAAAACACGCTCCTTCCTCGCTTATTAAAAGGTATCATCAGAATGTAACATGCGATACAAAAGATTTCAAGGTATCATCAGAATGTAACATGCNAAGGTATCATCAGAATGTAACATGCGATACAAAAGATTTCAAGGTATCATCAGAATGTAACATGCAAAAACAAAAGATTTCAAGGTATATGGGATTGTGTTATTCGTAAACCGATGCATGTTTAGGTCAGATAATTGAGGAACTCAGCAGCAGTTGCAACTGCACCTCCTGTGATGGCATCCGTTATGATTTTGTCCCCTTTGTTGCTGCTGACTGCCGATATGAGTGCTCCGGTCAATGCACCACCAATCATTGCGTTCTTCTGTGGTGGCATTAGAAACAGCAGTTTAGTAACATGATTTATATATGCAAGGAACTAGAAGCTAGAAATGTTCAATGTCATACAACCAGGTTAATATGCAATAAGAATGGGGAACAAGATCTGCATACATCCTACTTCCCCATACCCTACTCCATGCCAGATGAAAGATTCATTGTTCGTTTGGTTTGACTTGTAACCGGAAAACAAAATCTTTGCCACACCCATTCAGCAAAGTGTGTTTGTGTCAGTGTATGTGTGTGTTTAGATGGGGAAGATCTTTTCCGAGTATAGGAACAGTTATTCTAGTCTTTGGAGTAGAGGACAGGTCTGCTTACATCCCATCCAAGGCCCTAAGTGGGATTTACCGGATAAGTTTGGTTCGATTTAACCAAAGAAACACAACATGCCATAAAGCGTTATTTAAAACAGTTTTTTCATGAAAAATCTCATAAATTACCCAGTCTCTGGTGCCACGAACCCTCTCAATGCCATACTCCATTCCAACATATACTCCAGCCACCGTTCCTGTTAAGATGAGACAGAACTAAGTTTTCCCTTTCGAAAGAAAATAATCGCAATAGACTGGCAAGTTGAAGACTTCTATTCTAAATGAACTTACCCCAGTATGCGCCTTCTTTACACATCTTCTTTAACTGCAATATTAATGGCTGTTAGAGTTCTCATTTTCACTAAATTTATGTATGTATAACAGGATCAGTATCAAGCACATGGCAATCGATGTATTTATTATATTTGCTCAAACCTAGATTTAAATAGTTATCCTGTGAAGTTTCTTGAGGGTTGAACGTATCTGCTTGACTACTTGTACTATTTATAAGATGATACTTGAAATCTTTTCCTTTTGGGGTATAATTTACATAAGAGTGGCACTAAACTCGCAAGTAATTAACGCTTAACAATTCAAATTGAAATGATCTACAAAGATATCAGTATCTCACCGCATCCTCAAGGTTATGTTTTGAAACACTCCCTGAAAAATGAAGATCAAGAGACACTATCAAATGCCAAGAAATGTACTTGACTAAGATAACTGCAAATCATAATGTGTCATATACACACTGCAAAAAATGCACACAATGACATCTAAAAGTGCGTTTATGGCAACAAGAGAAGACTTTAACAAATGAATATCGTGATGGATGGAAAGAAGGCATTAACAAAAAGAAATCATCTCTCTAAGTTGTAGGATGGGCAAGGACAACTCAATGTTCAATTTTGGTGTAGGCAATCAACTCAAAGTTCAAGCAGTTTATTGAACTAAATGGCTATCTGGAAGATATTGATTTGAGGAAGAAGAAGAACATTTGACTGATTTTAGATCGAGTAAATTTTACTAATATTGTGGTATAGTGTTGCATTGAATTTGTAAAAAGAAATCCATATCAGCATGCATTTGAAAGGCAGTATGTTTAACATCAGATCCAGAATGTGAAGTCCTAAAATAGTTCCAATTCCTACTAAGTATGCTTTAAACTGAACATCAATCGCGACATCACAGGCAATCAATAACCAATGACGAATGACCACAAGAGCATTTCACTTCCTGCAATTAACTTGAGACTAATACACACAAATGATTTAAATCAAATCAACATAAATGAGGTAGTAAAACAAGAAAAGGATTCAAAATAGACACAAGAAAACCTCTTCTGACTACGTGGAAAGTCTCCTCCACAGCCGTTTTTGCAGCAGCAACCTGAAATGTGGATGATTACGATTCAAATTCGAACTATTAAAACCTAACTGCGGGAAAAAAACAGAGAAGTGATTATGAATACAAACAGTTCCGATCTTCAAAAATCCATCAACGGTGTGATTAAGGAGATGATTTCCGGTGTCGATGACGACGTCCACCTTGGGAGAAGAGAGTGAACCCGCGAAACTAGTTCTCGGCATCTTCAGTTATTGGAGTTCTACAACAAGACTCAATCCCTTTGATTGTTAATGGCGTAATGAGAGCAATTAATTCATCAGCGTCATCTTGTAATGTACCCACGTTACTTGTGCACCACAAAACCTTGCACTTTATCGAAATCATAGATTGCAGATGATAACACGGAGAAGAAGATGATAAAATATGTTAAAGAGTAGAATACATTTTTTGGTCGACATGGTTTGTTTAAATTTTAGTCCCTATAGTTTAAAATTTACAAATCATTTCCTACTATTTGCAATTTCTTACAAATTTGGTCTTTGAGATCGGATAATTATTTTAAAAGTAGTTCTCAAGCTCGAGTTCGAATAGTTTTTTTTTTATTAACCTCGATATCCAACTTGCTATGCGAGCCGACTAATCTCAGGACAACCACCTGCTTTGTAGATAATCTGGAGTCATCGCATTTGAACCTCTGTAGCCACAAGAGAATTTTTATTCCTGCTTGGATGTCAGAGGCTACCAGCATGAGTTCCGTGATCATTTACTTTAAGTCATGTATTATGACCTAAACTTTGGGTTTGTTAACTTGTTTATATCTGGACTCCAAATGTGAGATCGATTAACACATTTATTGGCTCGAATTTGTAGCCTAAACTAGACAACGACAAATCAACTATAGGCAACACCAAAAACCTCTAATTGTACCTCCACCAACAAAACTTGTTGCCACCAAACATCAGTCAAAGAGACACTCCATAATGCAGCTAGCAGGAGAAGGAACTTACAAACACCACGTGTACGTCCGAAGCATCACGAAAGAAATACAATATTGGGCTTATGCAAAATGACCAATTCAATGATTCTTGACCAGAAAGATGGAGCCAAGGACGGCGAGCCAAACCGAAATCACAACGATCGATCAGAATAGAAAGAGCCAACCCAAACTCATGAAACAAACTTGCACCGTGAATAATGAAAGAAGAGGATACAAAAGCCAACGACAGTGTCCAGAACAAGCTCCCAAGGAAGAGAAAGAACGAGCCCACAACGACAGTATCCATCAAAACCACAACCCCCACATCATTCTGGCCACGACGTTTTGAAACCCTTGGCTGATTTGGAGATCCATTGGAAAGTCGGAAGTTTAGTCTATAAAAGGTCTAATTAAATTGTTGTTTTATTGATCTCTTGTCCTAAATTACTATTAATATCAAAAGGTTTGACTAAAATTAGACGGAAAAAATGTAACATATTATTAGTTGGTATGGAAAGGAAATTGAAATTAATGATCCTATCGGTTGTTGAATCACATGATTTCTAATATAGATCATTTACTGTTATACTAGAATCAACGGAGTTATAGACACATATTACTGCCGGTGGTGGAAGGAAATTTGAAATCAATAGAATTCAGTTGTTGGGTTGTGTTAGTTTTGATTTGATTCATTTAAAACAGTTTCCAAATTATTATTTATTTAGAAAAAAGTTTAATTTGTTTTATTTTATTTCTAATAATGATGTATTACGATATTGCAGTAAGAAAAAAAAAACCGAGCAATGATGAAATTTATGTACTAAACTTTTGTGTGATGTTAATTTACAAAATCCATGCATTTTCTCATTTATCTTGAACACTATCATAATCTTGGAGGCCAAAAAAATGATATTACAGGATCCATTTTGAAGATCTAGAAAAAACCCATCTGAACGTTTAAATCGTTCCATATACATGATCCATTTTGAAGATGTAAAACTTAATTGTGTTCTATATATCAATCAAAAACAACGATTGATGGTGACAACATGCATGTGATGATGATAGTCAATGGCGGAACACGAATATCAAAGCCTTGAAGGCCAAAAAATGATATTACAAAAACTCTAAGACCCAAAATATAGCGATATAAGTTCATTAGGGTTTTTAATATGTCTTTTTTTTAATTATAATCTATTAATAAATTTTATAAAAATAAAAATAGAAAAATTTAGCTAATTTAATACTCTAATGACTAAAAGATTATAATATAAAAACATTTGTCACTATTTTTTCGAACTATGATATACTAATAAACT